GTTTAAGGTCTAGGGTTTGAGGTTTAGGGTTTAGGGTTTAGGATTTAGGCTTTAGGGTTTACGGTTTAGGCTTTAGGGTTTAAGGTGTAGGGTTCAGGGTTTCTGATGTCGGGCTTGTGCGAACCCCCGACCCCTAAACCCCAAACCCTAGATCCGAAACCTGAAACCCTACAGCGTTGACCCTCGACACAAAACCCTGCTTGCCTAATTTTAGGCTCCTTGTTGGAGATACCGAAGTCACGTAATTGAGGACTGTACTCCTTGAAGTAAAACCGGCTTCTCATGATCACGGTCGGAATAAATAGGTCCTGGACACTCAAATCCCCTAGACTCTCTAAACCCTAAGCGCCTATGTAAACCTTTCACAGAATCCCACAGGAACCTCATAGAACCACGGTAGAAACTTCACTGTCACGCAACCAGAAGGAAGTGTGTAGGGGTCTGGGGAATCTACAGTTTACCTATACTCTCCAGTTTTTAGGGTTTAGGGTGTACCACGTTTTTGGATGGCCTTCTGGTATCCTGAATGTAAAACTGGCTAGACCAACAAGAAGAGGTACAATGGAGACTATAAGTAGAGTTTACAGTTCAGGTCTTACGGAATAGTGCTAGCGTTTTGCTTTGGAGCACTACCCAGACCTTCCAACATTCAGTAATTAAGGAATCTACCTTAATCAATGATCGGGATCCTACTGCAATTCAAGGTACATTCCCTAGTTCAGGGATGTTTGGAAGGTCTGGATAGTGCCAAGTTTTTGCTTCCGAGCATTATATCAGATGATGCATGCATTTCCCGCAGGCCGTGTGCACGTCTCCATAAGCTAAGCCGTACACACGAATTCAGAAGCACATCGGTGTGACCAAGGCAGCGAATCTTTGCATGAAGGAGCAGGTGATTAAGCAAGTTTGCCATAAAATGTGTTACAAGTACCCGAGTTCGGGGTCCTTCTTTCTCCCCGTGCAATGTCAATGTGTGCGGGTGCCTATTCGAAATGTATGTGTGTTTTTATATTATATACATATATACATACAACACGTGCAGAAATAGTTTATGCTCACAGCTTGCATATTTGCGTTGTAATACAAGCCCAAACCGCACACGTAAGGCTAAACCCATCAACTGAGAACCTGAGACTATGAGCTGTAAAGCCTTAACCCTAAACCCTTCAGCGAACTACAAAAACTGAGAACCCGGACCAATCGTTCGAGATGGCTCCCCCGGATTGCAGCATGAAGCCAGTGGTCCGCAGGCCAGCATGATGGCATCTGCCGCACCTCATGTGCAAGAACAGCTATCCATCGATGCACCTATCTACCGATTTGCGTATCCATCCATCGTTCGCCTGCCTGGCCTAGCTAGCTAGCTAGCTATCCATCCATCTATCTTTATCATGGGTATCTGTCTGTCTATAACTATCTATCTACCTACCTATCTCTCTCTCTCTCTCTTATCTATCTATTTATCTATCTATCTATCCAACTATCGATCGATGTATCCGTGTATCTATCTGTCTACCTATCCATTTATACCCTATCAATCTGTCTGTCGCTCATGGCTCTGATGCACCTCCGTTGGCAAGGCTTGGTAGTAGGGCGCGAAGAAACTCCTGCGCTGCTTTTGGCTGCAACCCTTAACCCATAATCTTCAACCCTACACCGTAAAGCCGTACAGCGCCGAACCAGGAAGCCTAAACCCTGAAGCGTAATGCCCTGAACCCGGAACCCTTTCTGCCCTCAAGCCCTGAACCCTAAACAACTCTAGGGCTGAACTTGTCTTCGGGTCAAGTGCTGTGTGGGGTTTAGGGTTTAGGGTCTCTTCTGAAGAGACAACTACTTCAGCTACGGCGCGCTTGGCCCGCAGACAACTTCAGCCGGAGTGTGGTTTCAGGTCAAGGGTTTAGTTTCGGGGGGAAGATCATTCTTGAAGGAAGCTCTTTGTGAATAGCTCTTGTACGACCCATCGAAGACTGGGGTTGGTACTGCTGTTTATTTGAATCGACTTCTTCCTCAGCGTTGCCTCCTTGGTGCTGCAGATTGTGCAGAGATCGTTACATCTGTTGGTGGTCGGCGCTAGGACTGTCTGGTGATGGCAGCAGTGGTGGTGGCGCTGGAAGCGCTGGCGAAATGACAATGCTGCTGCTGCTGCTGCTGCTGCTGCTGCTGCTGCTGCTGCTGCTGCTGCTGCTTGCCTTGTATCTGTTGACGGGAGTGCTGATGATCCAGGCGATGCCGAGAGTAGTGATGAATGTTAGAGAATGATGATAAGCGTGGCGAAGGGAAGTGGTCACCCGGAGGAGCATGACCAAGTTCATGATGCTTATGGCAGCGAAGAAGAAGATGATTATGACGATGATGATGATTCTGATGATCATGATGCTGATGCTGTTGCTGCTGATGACGATGATGACTATGATGAGGATGGGTTGGAAGGCGAGGCTGATGATCAATAGACATCAATGTTCTGGTCGCTGCCATAGATACTGCTACAACCCAAGATGACACAAGTTGTTGTTGCTGTTGTTTTTGTGCTGCTGGGCTGTCCTTGTTACGGAAATTCTATATTCATTAAACCCTAAACAAGCAAAGAACTGGGCAATCAAAACAACACAAAATGAATGCTATCAACTTCGCAGGCGCTCGCCACCGGCACCCGGCGCGGCCCGCGCAGACTCCGCCGCAGAGTCCCTCAACAGCCTTGCTTTCGCGTACAGGGGTTTGGGGTCTAAGGTGCATCATGGCACCTACAACTCCGACGAGAAGATGATAAGCCTTAATAATGAGAATAGGGTTTTGGGCCCCATATACGATAATTCCAGTTTAATAAGGACCCCCCAAACTACTATAGGTACTCACTAAGTTTTAAGGCCCCTTTCTTAGATTGCAGACTCTATGCCCATAGCAAGAACCGTGGGCAAACCCACAATTTAAAGGTCGTCCTAGGGTCCCAGCTAAGTCCCAAACCGAATTTCTCGCCTCATCAGCCTTGCTTGATCTAGGAAGCAAGAGGGTTTAGGGTTTAGGGTTTAGGGTTTAGATACATACTACTAGTATGGACTTGCGTCCCCAAAACCATAATAGGGGTGGTCTTTTGGAACCTAATTCCATAATAGTAGTGTGCCTGGACCCTCGGGGGAAGCAGTAAAGTTTCAGGGCTTCGGGTTAAGGGACCAGGGTCGGGTATATAAACCCTAAAGACCTAAATCAGGGGCCAAGCTTAATCCCTGAATAAGCCTAAATCCTGGCAAGAAACAAGCCCGAACTATGTGCTAACCTCTACATAAACCCTAATCCCTGAGAGCATCTTAAACCCTAAATTCGCCCAAGCCCTAAACAAACCAAGAAACAAGGCTGTGAGGAGGAGCAGACCAGCCGCAGATGGCATCAACTCCTGGGTGGATCCAGGGAGCCCAACACCCGTTAATTCAGGAAGGCATAGGGGTCTTTGAAGGGGTCACTCAAGGCTGGAGTGGGGTTTCATTGGAGAGTTTTGATGGAGTCTTATCGGCCCTTAATTCACGAATGTGTCTTGAAATATAAGGCTCTTAACACGAACTCAGGTTATCGGGCTCCGTGGGCGCTTCTGGAGGCATTAAAGAGTAGTCTACGGTCATTCGGGGTTTTGGGCTTCAGGGTTTCGGCTTTCGGGTTCAGGGTGCTTCATGGATTGTTCCTAGGGTGGTTCCACACATTCCAAAGCATGCAGTAGATAGTTGGGCAGCCGGGTTTAGGATAGCAGCTTTGTGTTTTAGCTTTGTGGTGGGACAAGATCCCCAAACCCTAAACCCGAAAAACTAAAAACCCGGAACCCTAAACGTAAATCGAGAATTGTTGGGCACTTAGCCCTGGGATTTTTAAAGCTTCTTACAGGATTATGAAGCCTTGCTCGCATTTGGTACCGCTGTTGCGAAGCTTTATTGGTGTTTTGAGGAATGAACAGGCTTACGGTTAGGGCTCAGGGTTTAGGGTTTAGGGTTTGGGTTTTGCAAGTTGCAGAATCTTGGTTGAACTTACCGTCCTGAGCGGTTTATAGCAAACAGGATGCTTTCTTTATAAAACCCTGAACCCGAAACCCCTGAACGCTAAACCCCGCCTGAACCCCCACACCCCGAAACCCTGAAACCTAAACCCCTAAACTTTAACCCCCTTAAATTCCTAAACCCTAACCCTCAGTTCCCTCACAATAGCCTAGGCTCTTCAGCGCTGTGCCGCAGCTCTTGTCCGAAATCCAAGGAAGCCTGTGATTGAGTTTAGGGCCCTTAAGCTGTTTTTAGGGTTTAGGGTTTAGGGGTTTAGGGGTTTCGGGTTTAGGGTTTAGAGTTTAGGGTTTAGGGTTTACTGAAGCTGCGTTTAGGGTTCAGCGTTGAGAGTTTAGGGCCTTCAGGGTGTAGAGGGTTAGGGTCTAGGGGCACAGAAGATTCATCTCATTCCTTAGTTGAGGGGCTTAGGCATCTGTACGGGTATTCTTTTGGGGCTCTATGCTTTAGACCTTCGAGCATTTAAGCTATCTGGGTGAAGCAGAAAACACCATCAACTACTGTAAACAAGTTCTTGCTACAGACAACGATCTTTCAGATCAACCTCAACTTCATCTGTGGAAAATCCGTTCATGAAGCGGATGAAGAATAGATAGCGAACCACCCAAAAAAACAGTCACTGGAGAAACTCATCATTGTCGGACATACGTATGAACGATTTTTCTGCAGTTCGGTCAAAATTTTCGTATTCTGTTACAGAACAAGTGCTTCCTCAGATTTCCTGACAAGAGAACCGAAGTGCGGGCACAACCGAAATACTCAGCCGAACTGTCACTCCAAGCATCACGCCCTGAAATCCGGGGACCCTAACCTGCCAACCCCGAGACCCGAAACCCTTCTATAGAGCTCTAACAGTGGTTTAGGGTTTAGGGTTTAGGGTTTAGGTTTAGGGTTAGGGTTAGGGTTTAGGGTTTAGGGTTCAGGGTTTGGGTTTGGGTTTGGGTTTGGGTTTGGGTAGGTTTAGGCCCGAAGCCCTAAACCCTAAACCCCTAACTTCCGTAGCTCTCTGCCCCGCAGCTGGATTATAGCTTCATCTGTGCCGCGGGACGCCAGGGACGCCAAGGACGCTGGGGACGCCAGGGACGCCGGGGATGGGACGCTTGCCGCGAACAGAGTCGCTTGCTCACTCGCACTTGCTCCGCCGCGAGCCGCTTGCCGCGTGCTCTTGCCAGAGGCGGCGGCGGCAAATATTTCTTGCAGAAGATGCCCTTGAAGACAGGAGTTTCGCCACAGTCCGGCAGTAGTGCAGATTGGTGCCCTCCACTTGCTGGATGGAGGACAGCAGCTGTCAGCAAGTGGGACGCGTCATCTTCTGGTTCCCGTCGATGACGACTAATGTCGGCTGTCCTGCTGCCTGTCTTCGTGCCCTGGCCATGCAACGGTCGTACTGGTCTTTGCCCTGGTTCCAGCATCTGTGCAAGCTTCGGGAACCGCCGCCCTAAACCCGCAAGAGGGTCGAAACGCAAGCAGCGCAAACTATTTTAGTATTACTATTCGCATGAGTATTCATATAAGCATTAGTATTAGCATTAGTATTAGTATTAGTATTAGTATTCATATCAGTACGAGTCTGGGTATTCGCATTATAGTAATCATTTTAATATTAGTATTCGTATTATGGTATTAGTATTCATATTAGTATGCATATTTACTATTACTAGCTATTACTACTACTACTACTACTACTACGACGACTACTACTACAATTAATATTGCTATTACTATTACTATTGGTATTACTGTTACTATTACTATTACTGGAAAGACGGGGACGCTGGGGACGACAGGGACGCTGGGGATGACGCTGGGGACGCTGGGGATGCCGGGGACGCCGGTGGGGACGTTATGGACGCCGGGCACGCCAGGGACGAAAGGCTAGGAACGCCGGGGACGCCTGGGACGGGACGCTGGCGACGCCGGTGACGCCGGGGACGCCCGCTGTGTCGCAGACGGAGGTACTATGCGCAGCCCACAGAGCAACCTCGAGTAGTCAACCCTTAAGAGGATCCTGCTGTAGAAGCCTATAGTACCCCTACAAGGAGCCCAAGAAATGGACTCAAAGGGATCCTTCTATAGAACCCTATAGAACCCTTTAAAAAATGAAAGAGCCCTGGAGCTACCTAAACCGTACACCCTAAGCCCCTTTTTCCTAAACCTTAAAACCTAAAACCCTTAACACCAAAAACATCAACCCTGAAGCCTAAGACCTGAACCCTACGCCCTAAACCCTAAACCCTAAACCCTAAAACCTCAACCCTAAAGAACCTACGGCCCCGAGGCACCTCGGCCAGCCTCTCGGTGATCAGCAGCTTCTGAGGTATGCGGCAGAAGTCGACGTCGGGCTTTAAGGCCTGGCACTGTAGAGCTGTGGTTAGGGTTTAGGGTTCAGGGGGTTTAGGGTCTAGGGTTTCGGGTCTAGGGTTCAGGGTTTCGCGCCGGGTTTTATGGGGTTTAGGATTCAGGGTGTAGGGGTTGGGGTTTAGGGGTTATATAGGGGTTGGGACTTCAGGCTTTTGGGGTTTAGGGATTAGGGCTGGAGTTTGTTCAAGCGGCTGGGTTGAGGGATGCAGGGTTTTTGTGGGCATATAGAGGGTCATAGGGCTTAGAAAGGTTTAGGGCTTTCGGGTGTAGGGATTCAAGCTTTGGGGCTTAAGGCTGTAGGATGAACAACGAATCGATACCGAAATACCAAATAGACCTTGAGTTGAAGTGAGTTAAACATGACTGCCCAAAGTTGATGTGGCTAAGCTAGGCGGTGTTGAGCTCTCTGCTGGACCACCTTTTTTGGGGGCTGCGATTCTCAGGCCTTGGTGTGTGATTTGATTAGATGGTCGAGGGCCTTTCAGGCCTTAGGGTGTCGGTTTAGGTTTGCAGTTTAGGTTTAGGGTTAAGGTTTACGGTTTACGGTTTACGGTTTACGGTTTGGTTTGGGGTTCAAGGTTCAGGGCCGGATTTTGAACCAGGGAAACTGCACGAAACAAAAAGCTCGCGGAGTGTAGACTGGCTCCTCGGTTCAAGACATGGCGGCAGGGCAAGCTTCGTTCTCAGCATGTGGGTCAGCCCTCAGCCCTCAGCCCTGTATTTCTAAAGTCTCACAAACCCAAAAGATCCCCAAGGCTTAGGTTTAGGGTTCTCCTTTCCTGTACAGCCCTAAAACTTACTATAGGGGCCTTCATCATTTGAATCGGGTTTTGGGGTCCATTATACTATAAATATAGTAAGGAACCCCCGAAATTAGTATAGGTAAATACGAAAGTCCCTATCTTACCCTTCCCCGCCTCGCGCGCAAAGACCCCCCGGTAGCCATCAGCATCCAGCACCGAAGCAGCTTCACAGATGCTCCCGCCATGTGACCGGATCCAGCTTTCCAGTGCCGCAACCCGGCGAGGGCCATCGGAAGAGGACATCTACTCGATTTAAGGTTTAGGGTTTAGGGTTTAGGGTTTAGGGTTTAGAGTTTAGGGTTTAGGGTTTAGGGTAGTAGCCCCTTAATAACAAGGATACTTTTTTTTTCCACTGTTTGGTTTTAATAAGGGAACTACGGGGGAACCTAGTACTTGGGGGTTATCTGACACCCCCCCAAACAGCCTGCCCTTTCATGTTCCTTGTTAACGTTTCATTTTCTAAACAGTTTAGGGCTGTTCAGGGGGTGTGTAGAGTCTCTGAAATCCTGGAAACCCCAATCTAGCCTGTGGTGATCCTTTCATTCGGGTTTAGAGTTTAGGTTTTACCCCAAACCCTAAACCCTAAACCCCCAAACCCTAAACCCTTATTTTGGAACTAAGCATCTGAAAATGCGGCTTACACTCAGAAAAGCATCCGCAACCTCACTCGTAGAAGTAGGGTCCGACCCCACCGTAGCCGCTCCTGAACTTGGAAGCTGGGTGCTGGCCCAGAGCTCTAAACCCTAAACCCTGAACCCTAAGTGACAGAAGGTGTCTGAAATATTCCATGACCCAGAGTCTCCATATACACTACTATTATGGAATTAAGTCCCAAAAGATGATCCCTATTCTCGCATTGGGGACCTAATTCCATAAGAGTAGTACCTTTGGACCCTCTTGGTGATAAACTGGTAAACCTCATTGCCACGGGCATCAAGCCGACACCCTTGCCCCGCTAACGCCCAAAATCTGTTTTTTTCTGAGCCAAGTTTTTGGTCAGCCATTGAAAGCCTAAGGGTCTGCTGTCGCCGCTATGCGAGACAAGAAAAACTGGAATTTCTACTCACATGTCCTAGAGTCTAGGAACCCAAACGTCTTGAATCGTAGAGGGTGCAAACTTTGTAGAGCCCTTGTAGAAACCCTTACACTCCACCGACACGAAAAACGTAGGCCCTAAACCCTAGAACTTCAGCTTTAAAGCCTCAAACCCTGGACCCTAAGCCCTAAGCTCTAAACCCAAATCCGAAACCAGAAACACTCACACAAAACCCTTATCGAACAGGCATAGGAACCCCAGCCATAGGAACCCCTAAACGAACCCCAAACCTTTAACTCAACTTCTACAAACCCTAAACCCCGAAACCTAAACCTAAATCCTAAACCACTAACCCTCACATAGAACCCTTGCCCAACCCTTATAGGAACCCCAGTGAAGGAACCAAAACCCACACCCTAAACCCTAAACCCTAAAACCCTGAACCCAGAACCCAAAACCCACACCCTAAACCCTGAACCC